ATTCTCTAATTTCAGCCTTATCATTAACAAAAATAATATTCCATGCTCCATTTACCTCATCTATGACTGAATTAGTTTAGAACTTGGATGGGAAAGAGATGTGAATCACTTAACAAAAGCAGCTTGTTGCTTTTCTTTTTGATATGTTAAGCATGAATTGGTTTTGTAACTTCCTAGCCTTGAGTAGAACAAGTCTAATGTCATAATTAACATATACTGAAATTTAACACTAAACACACAATCCTGTAATATTTGATTTCAGAAAATATACTAGGGAGAACTTTCAAATCATCCAACCTTTGTACATTGGGCCTTCCACTATAAGCAGACTTGTAGTCATTTTTCTAAGTCTACCAACCTTCTTCCTTCATGCTTTTCATGAGTTGAATAATCTCTTTAGTTTATATAAACATTAAATAACTTAATGTTTTTCTATATAACTAGAAATATTTTAAAGAAAGAATGGTCCTGAAATGCTCACTTTTCATAAAGGTGACATTAAGTGCCATAGAAACAAGAGTCCACCAACATCATGACAGTTGATGGGAAAGTAACATACTAAATTTAGAGTCTGTGCCACAGATCCTGTGTCATCCAGGAAGCAGCAAGTTAACAGAAAAACAAAACTGAGACTGGCTTAAGAAATAAAGGAAATTTATTGGTTCACCCAATTGAAAACCCCAGAGATACATGTTGCTAAGGGTGAGGGTTGATCAGAATTCCAAATAAGGTGACTTAGAACCTAGTTTCTTTCTCTTCAATTTCTTATTGTTACTTCGAATTGATTGCCTTTTGGATGAACTCCACCCATTTCATGATCCAAAATTGGCTTTGAGGAGCTTTAACAGTTACATGAATCCTCATTCATGAAACAGCAAAGAGAGAATCTATGTTAGTATATTCAAGAAAAAAAAATGTTGTGCCAGGCATGGTGGCATGCACCTGTTAGTCCCAACTACTAAGGAGGCTGAGGCAGGAGGCGTGGAGACTTCGAGCCCACCTGGGCAAAAGAGCAAGATCCTGTCTCCAAAAAACAAACAAACAAACAAGACTTTAGAGTCACTTTGGACCAGCTTAAGTAACTGTGCCAATCCCAAACCATTCATTATGAACAGAAGTGGTGTATTCAGATTGGCTCTGTTAATCAGAGCCCATCTCTGGGGCAGGTGAGGCTGATCCCATCTAAATCAGAAAGCTGAGCATAGGAGGAGGGGGTAGGTTCCCCAAAGAAATTCTGGCTACCACTTCAAGAAGGACAAGAAATGGACACTGGGCAGCCAGTAACAGGTATCCATTGCAGATATTTCCAGAGTCTATTTCCTATTTACTCCTTTAGAAAGAAATTTAAGATGTTAACCCAAAACTTCACACATTTTCTGCATGTTACCTGACACATTTTTAGAAAACAGACATAACAGTTAATTAAGTCATTTCACAGTATTTTTATTTCTGTTATTTTGTCTAAGGAGACCTTGCTATGAAAGTGGTAATAATACACACTTTATCTGGAAGATTTTATTCAGTAAAATGTCCACATTCAAAAGAAAATCCTAACTCTGATGACTCATAAACTCAAGCATACTTTTTAGTTGATATCCCTTTTTTACTGGGGTGTTTAAAAAACATGACTTCCTAAAAACTGTCAGACCACAAAAGCACTATTTAAATGTCATAGCCTTCTTTTCACAAGGCGTAGCGCCCATCATTGTCTGTGATCATGTTCTCTGGTGCACAGCTTCACCAAGTCACGACTTTGTGGGTTTTTGGTTTATTTTGTTTTGGGGACTGTATCTTTTAAGAGTTCTCCTTACAGTTCTGACTTTCCTTTTGTCAACCTCCCTCACCTCCACCACTTCCTAGGTTTGCAGTACTTTTTCTAGCTGAAGTTCTTTACCTTTCTTTTATCTGCCAAAATCCAGGAAAGAAGAGCCCATAGTGAAATGAATACTTGTAGTCACCCCACCTCCTAAATTGCCTGCAATCTGTCTTCAGCCTCTGTAATTTGAATCTGCTTCAAGTTATCAGTGGCATCAATCTTCATCGTACTGAAATATTTACATGGTTGATAACAACCTCTTTTTTGAGTTTGCTCCTCTTATCTGATTGGTCGTCTTCTGTCACTCCTAAGAAGTAGCCATGTCTTTCTATTCTAATCAATCTCTCTTCTCTGCTACCCAATAAAACCCAGACAAGTTTAGTAAGGCTCTGTTGTTCTGGCCGCAATCTTTCAGCTTTCTCTTCCATTTCATCCTTTCTTTACCACACTGATTGAAAACTCACTGCTCACCTGTGCTTTCTTTTTTTCCATGGTCCCCCTCAAGGTTCCCTTTGGAATCTCTTCCTTCAAGACCCAGCTTAAATGTTCTCCCCTCCAGGAACCCTGCTCTAGTTCCCCCCAAGCTGTAAATCATGACTTCCAACTCCATCGACCAGGTCCAAGCTACCATTAGCTCTTGACTAGACTTTTGTATAATAAAAACTGCTTAACTAGTATCCCTGCTTCCTGTTTCCTAATTGTTTCTCCATACAATCACCAAAATGATCTCTCACACAATCTACACTCCTCACCATGGACTCTAAGGTATGACAAGATCTGGCTTCTGCTCATGTTTGGCCCAGGTACTGTGCTAAGTAAGCCCTTTATTTAAATTAATTCATTTAATCCTCTTAATAACCCTACAGCTATGTACTTTTAATATCCTCATTTTCAGCAGATGCTGTTGGTGACTCACCCAGCCAGATCCCTTTTATAGAGCTAGAGCACCCATACCTTAGCTGCTCTAGGTGTTGGCTGCTAACGGCTCACACCTCCAGCCTTATTAAGAGATTGACCTTGGCTGAGGAGAGGCACCAAGCCACTCCTCTAGCCCTTCTTCCCATAGCCAGCAGTCGATGACTTCACGATGTGGGAACCTAATGGCCCACCCTCCTCACCCCTGGGCAGGAAAACTACTCTAGTCCAGTTCATTCTGCAGAGTGCCCGGTGCAGTCAGGGTGAGGCTACACTACTCCTGAAACTCTTCTTCCCCTGCCTTACCTTGTTTTTCATACTCCCTTCCAGATTTCTCCTAAGAGCACTCCCTTAATCACTTGCCCAAGAATCCCCATCTCAAGCATTGCTACACAGGAACTGATCTAAGACATCATTTTACAGATGAAGAAACTTAAGACAAAGAGAGGTGAAACGATTTGCCTAATGTCAAAGAGAAAGTGGGAGAGGTGAAATTTGAAGC